ATCAGCTTTCCTAAAGTCTAGCACTTTCACCCTAGTAGTTACCTTACACACTCGACGTCTTATGCTAAATTCTATTATTAGGTGATCACTGACCCCCAGATGGCTACCGATCTGTAGGTCCCCTACCATGTCATCCCCCGTTGCCAATACCAGATCCAGTATGGCATTCCCCCTAGTGGGACCATGTACCTCCTTTGCATAGGGAGGGTCTGAGTGTAAGCAGTGACAGTGCAGGTGTGCATGCATGTGTGTGTATGAAGAGGTACAGAGGTGTATGTATCTGTGTGTGTGTGTGGAGGCACAGGGATGTGTGCATGTGTGTGTCTGTGAGAGAGGAGGCACTACAGTGTGTTGTGTGTGTATATTTGTGTGTGCGAGATGAGGCACTGGGATGTCTGTGTGAGAGAGGAGGCACCGGGCTGTGTGCACATGTATGTGAGGAGACATAGGGTGTGTGTGTGCCTGTGAGTGTCTGTATGTACGTGAGGAGGCACAGGGGTATGTGTGTGCAGGCATGTGTGTGTGTGTGTATGAAGAGGCACAGAAGTGTGTGTGTGTGTGTGTGTGTGTGTGCACGTGCGCGCATGTAAGTGCAAGATGAGGCACTGGGGTGTGTCTGTGTGTGTGAGAGGAGGCACTGGGCTGTGTGCATGTGTATGTGAGGAGGCACAGGGTGTGTTGGTATATGTGTGTGTCTGTGAGTATGTGTGTGAGGAGGCACAGGATTGTGTGTGCGTGTGAGGAGGCACACGGGGTGTGAGAGAGGATGCACATGCATGTGTGTCTGCCTGAGTGAGAGGCAGCACAATGAGGGGCACATGCACACACACACACACTGTATGTGGGGGAGGACCGGGGTGTGTGTATGTGAGGTGGCACATGGTTGTATGTGTGAGGAGGAACATGGGTGTTTGTGTGTGAGGAGGCACACGGGTATGTGTGAGTGTGAGAAGGCACAGGGTGTGTCTGTGTGAGTGCATTTATGTGCGTGTATGAAGAGTCTGGATGTGGATGTGTGTGTGTGAGAAAGAGAGAGAGGAGGCACTGGGGTGTGTCATGTTTGCGTGTGCGTGTGTGTTAGGAGGCACAGTAGCTGTGTGTATGTGTGAGAGAGAGGAGGCACACAGGTGTGTGTGGGAGGAGGCACATGGATGTGTGTGTGTGAGGAGGCACAAGGGGTGTGTATTTGCAAGCATGTGTGTAGATGAAGGGGTGTGTGGATGTGTGTGTGTCAGAGAGAGAGGAGGCACTGGGGGTGTATAAGGAGGAACATGGATGTGTGTGTGTGTGTGTGTGTGTGGGGAGGCACGGGTGTGTGAGAGGAGGCACAGGGGTGTGTGTATGAGTGTGTTTGTGGGCAGAGGCACAGAGGGATGTGTGTATGCGAGATAATGGAGGCATATGGTTATACGTGTGTGAGCAGGCACGGGGGGTGTGAGTGTAAGCAGTCACAGTGCAGGTGTGCATGCATGTGTGTGTGTATGAAGAGGTACAGAGTTGAGTGTATCTGTGTGTGTGTGTGTGTGTGTAGGCACAGGGGTGCATGCATGTGTGTGTGTGAGAGAGGAGTCACTACAGTGTGTTGTGTGTGTATACTTGTGTGTGCAAGATGAAGCACTGTGGTGTGTCTGTGTGAGAGGAGGCACCAGGCCGTCTACGTGTGTATGTGAGGAGACACTGGGTGTGTGTGTGATGTGTGTACATGAGGAGGCACAGGGGTGTATGCGTGCATGTATGTGTGTGTATGAAGAGGGGGGTGTCTGGATATGTGTGTGTGAGACAGAAAGAGAGAGAGAGAGGAGGTAATGAGGTGTGTAGTGTGTGTATGTAAAGAG